AACTGCAGCAGAATGAATCATGACCTCCTGTCCCAGGGGCCACAGAACTGAAGGATGGAACTCCCAGGTTCTGAGGACACACTCTAGCCACTGGGAAGAGGTGGGTATTGGGAACAGGACAAGTTGTTGGCAAAGCCCTTTCTAGCAGTCGTGTGTGCCCCACTAACTTCCTCCTCTCCTCCCCCACTCACCCCTCCCGTCTACACCATCTTCCCTTGCTGGGAATTGAACCCAGGCCCTTGCACATGCTAGGCAATCACTCCACCACTGAGCTGTACCCCCCTCCCCCCACTCCGCTTTCTCCTGTGTCCAAAAGCCCAACAGCCTCCATCCAGTAACTGGAGAGAAAAGCGTAGGCAGCAGGGTCATGTCCAAAGATTTTTCAGATGGTTATGCAGAGGCAGTTGGGATCATCAAAAGATTCTGGGTCCCTAGGTTTATTCTTTACAAAGTTGTGTGATCTCAAGTAGGTTGCTTGACCTGTGTCTCACTTTTTGTCAGAAAAAGGAGCATAATAAAATAATAATAGTAATAATAATAATAATACTTATCTGTTGTGAGAATCTGAAAGATGTGCGAAGGCTCTGTAAACTTTGAAATCCTCTACACTATGAATCAGTTTGGAGCCAGGAAGAGAAAAAGCAAGAACGAGTCCTAGCCCGGTTTGGGGAAAGGAAGAGAGATGGGACAGAGTTGGGGCACAACCTGGCCGTGGCTCATTTCTTTGAGGAGGGATTTCTGGGTCATGCTTGATTGTGCACTCAGAAGCCTCCCACTGAGGGTGAGGGAGGGAAGAACCACAAGAAGGCAGACAGGGGTCCCTAGGGCAGGGACATGGCCACTTTAGGCTCTGCTTGGGTGCTGTCTTCCGGCCTCAGGAGACACCTGTCTCGGTGCTTCTCTTAGAGCTCTGTCTGCTCCTCTCCTGGGAGCTCTCGGAGTCAGGAGTTAGGTGTGTCCATGTGCGCGTGCACGCAGCCTTGGCTATGGACTGGAAGCTGATGGCTGCCTTCCACCCCTGCCCCTGGCTTGGTTTGGGTGCTGTGCTGAGAAGGTACCCTCTCTCCCACAATTAGACCCTCCCTGTGCCCATTAGTTTCCCCTCATTGGCCAGGGGCAGAAACAGGGTGTGCTATGAAGAGGTCTTTTGACTGTCATTATCAAGTATCATTATTCCCAGAGCAATCTATTATTAACTTGTTGACGAATAGGCTTTTAAGAAACTTTAGCCCGGAGGAGGTGACCGAGACGGGACAGATGAGAGCTGAGGACGTCCACCATCCAGTGCCTGACCTCATCTCATCCAGAGGGGAGGGTTGCCTCTGCCAGTGCCAGGCCTTTTCTGCAGGCCTTCCTTTCACAGATGTTCCTAATTTAGCCACGGCAACAACCCCATAAGATGAGAAGAAATTTTTCTCTTTGACAGATGTGGAAATGGAAGGTGAAGTTCGCCCAGGCAGGGCACACAACCAAGGGGGAAACCACTGTTCTGGTCTTCACAGAACATTCTTTAGGAAAAAAAAAAAAAAAAAAAAAAAAAAAAAAAGAGAATCCTAATTTAGCCGGCAACAACCCCATAAGATGAGAAGAAATTTTTCTCTTTGACAGATGTGGAAATGGAAGGTGAAGTTCGCCCAGGCAGGGCACACAACCAAGGGGGAAACCACTGTTCTGGTCTTCACAGAACATTCTTTTGGAAAAAAAAAAAAAAAAAAAAAAAAAAAAAAA